AAAGAAAAAATTAAGATAGTTAAGTTACTGTTATATAAATATCATAAGTACCGTTTTTTTTTGGTAAGGTAAAAAGGGTCAATGCCCTTTTGGGGGGCAGTGTAAGATATGGTCAGCGGTAACATAGTTCGCCATGCGCAAGAACGTAACAAGAACGTAACAAGAACGTAACAAGAACGTAACAAGAACGTAACAAGAACGTAACAAGAACGTAGCAAGGACGTTAGAGGATCTAAAGTCATTATTGTAGGCCAAACTTGAGGTAAGTTCCGGTTTTCTTACGTTCAGATTTGTAAGTCTTATGTTAAGTAGCGTATAAACCATACAAAGGTCATAAACTGTACAAAGTCTTCAATGACGAGATGTAATGAGAGTCGTTACGAATTAAATGAAAACTGAGTTACGCGTGTCTAAGTCTGGTCCCTACAATATTTAAATCGCGATTTGCACCGTTTCAAATTGATTGATTACCCCTCTTGTTCTTTCTGCTCTCTTGTACCGGAAACAATTCACAATCTCTTTGTGGAGTGCATTGAATCTAAAAACTTTTATTTTACCATCAGAGATTGGCTAGAACATTTCAATGTGCAGTTACCTGTCTCTAGTAAATTTAATATAATATAAGGAGTAAACGATATTACAATTAATTTCGTAATTTTGATATATAAGATGTCATTGTACAAAGCGAGAGAAAAAGGTAGTATACCATCACTGTCACTATTCAAAAATATTTTAAAACATGAAAATATAGAAAGGAATATAGCAAAATCAAAAAATAAGACACAAAAACATCTAAGAAAATGGGGGAGAAATCATTAAGGCCTTGAAATAAGGTAAAAGGCAAGATTTTTTCTTTTCTCTTTCTGTTTTTCCCTTTTCTCTTTTTTCTATTATTGTCAATTTTTGTTTCTGAATCTTGTATATAATGTTTAATATATCGAAAAGTAAAAACGCTGTAAGTACAGTATTTTAAAATTAAGCAAAAACCTAGTAAATTTATGTACGTGTAATTTATTTATTTGTTTAATGATAAATAAAAATGTAAAAAAAAAAATTTTTTTTTTAATTGTATATTCAAGAGATTCCAATAAAGCGTTCAAATGAGATCACAACTTTCTGAGTCCTTTAATTCTTGACATAAGAACCACCCACAAACCCGTTGAACACGACAGTAAGTGATGCAGAAGATCACACCTATTTGAAAATAGTTGAATGATTAAAATATGTCTCTTATTTGTTTTCAGACTCGTGAACAAGAATTCGAAAAAATGCATACAACTGTAAGTACTTACGTACTTACTGAGCAATGGCATTGATAATATTACTGTCTTATTTTCTTGATAAAAGAGGCTCACAAAAACGAAGGAAGGGTGGAGTTATCGGCTGGACCTGATCTTGTGTATGTAACAAACAATGTACTGTACCGATCCCCTAAACATTGGCTTGTTGTATGCAAAAACCAAGGGCTGGTGTAGTTATTGGCTGGACCTGACCATTTATATGTAACAAACAACGTACTATATCTCCCCTATATATTACTTTTACAATTATTATAACTGTTATTATTATAACTTTTACTATTATTACTGTTATTATTATCATAACTTTTACTATTATTATTACTGTTATTATTTTTACTGTTATCAATATTACTGTTATTATTGTTCTTCTTCTTATTATTATTATCAAATTTAACTTAATTATTAATAATGTTGTTCTTTTTATTGTATAAAATAACAATATTATTAAGTTATCCAATGTCATTACTTCAGACATTGATATTTGTTTTTGCACTTCGGGGAGATTTCGTTTATACCAATGACAATGAATTGACAATCAACGAAGGTGACTCTGGTGAGTGGCAAAAAATAGGCAATTGCTTTGATTTTACATAATTACTAACCCAACATTTCGTTGGTGCAGCAGGGAAAGACAACAAAAATACCGGAAAAGAGGGAAAACAAGCAAGCAGAAGAAAAACAAAAAGAAGCTGTAACCTCTCCCAAAATAGAGTGCAAATAATATCAACTAGGGAGTAGTACCAGAGTGTCATACCACGCTATGTTAGCACTCAAGGCCCCGTCCACACGTATCCGGTTATTTTGGAATCTTCCGTCCTCGAGTATCCTGTGGATACGGCAGTTCAATCCGCAGCTTTTTCAAAACGGTCTCAGAGGATTTGTTCATATTTCATTTTTGTGCTATTTCCAGGTTATAATATTTGCACTCTTAAGGTGGTAGGTAAATAGGACATTTGCACTATTGCATCATGATCCTCTACCACCAGAATCCCTTGCCTTGTTATAATTTGAATATGAAAGAAAATTCGTGAAGCACTCTGTTACTAGTGCTCAAAGGACGTCCTATTACCCTTCTTTCTTTTTTACAAACATTAATTAATAGATTTGTTGTTTGCTGTGCCCATTTCAGACCCTGTGATGCTACTTTATTTCAATAAAAGAAAATTTCTCTATGGGATGTCATGTGGTCTGGAATGGACAATTCGCA